GTTTTCGCTTATGAATTTAAACAAGTGCAAAACACGGAACAGGTTAACCAACGAGAATTTGGAAAATCTGCTGGTTGTTTCAACATCTGCCATTACACCAGACATCAAGAAGATTGCCGCCAGCATCCAATCTCAGCCATCGCATTAATCGCTTGGAGGTCCGGCCCCCAGTCAGTAAACTTAATCCTAATTTGGCCCTTCTTCACGAAAGGTTGTGCATCCCTGTTTATATAAAACAAAAATATTTTATTTTCGAAATATTAAACAAGAAAAAACTTGTTAAGTCCAAATGTGCTCTAAGGCCTGACGGGACTTATAAGTCCCATAATTTAAAAATTTTTAATTTACATTTTAATTTTTTTTTATTTACTTATCTGTTCTGATGATAAAATGAGAAATATAAAAAATATTTATCAAAAATCGAAAATTCAGGCCATAAAGGGTTAACCCGGCATAGACGAGTGGAAACACTGATTGGTCGACCACCAGTCACCATAGGACATATATAAGGTCAGTTTGAGCGGGAAAATTCAAGGTAGCTAAGGAGAGATAGATATCGTCTGACTGACAAGAAGTAGATATTGTTTGGTCAACGAGAAGTAGATTTGTCTCATTAACGATAGTTTGTCATTGCCGGAAGTGCTACTGTGTTGTAAGGTGTTTTCCTGAATGAACTGATATGGGATACATTCATTGACGCTACAGATTCGGATGCCATTTATTGGACTATTAAGTTTAATAACTTGACTCATGGGTACCTAAACGTTTAGTATTTTAATATTAATTTAATGCAAATGTATACATACCCAATAATATTAAACAGAAAAAATATATTCAATAAAAATCTTTGTTTTAACAAATGTACAATTTTGCGGCTTGGTAAATACGTCAACACTGAAATGAAAATCAGTCTAGCATAGGAAAATCAGGGACTTACACAACGAAACAGCGAATTGCGCAGTGGCATTATTGTGAACCGGCGTAAACCGAAGGCTACCTGTATTCACTACCAACAAACTAAAATTTTGGGTATACCAAATTTTGCCACAACATAAATTATACTGATTTCTCACATACCAAATTTACATATGGTATATATAATACACCATATGTAAATTTGGTATGTGAGAAATCACATACCAAATTTTAAACTAGTTTTGCTCATAATAAAGAATGTCTTCAGTCTTTGTTTGACCTGATCTTATCAAGAAATCAAATTCAAATTTACATATGGTGTATATAATACACCATATGTAAATTTGAATTTGATTTAATACACCATATGTAAATTTGAATTTGATTTCTTGATAAGATCAGGTCAAACAAAGACTGAAGACATTCTTTATTATGAGCAAAACTAGTTTAAAGCAAGCCAAAGTAAATATCGATTAATATTAAGAAACAAAAGAAATTAAACATAAAAAAGTTAATAAAAAAATCGAATACAAAAAACCAAATAAACTTCTCATATATTATAGGAAATAATCATAAGATCCATTTAATTTATAAGTTAAAATAAATTTCACTTGCTGGATATCTATATTTAAACATGGTGTATGTGTGTCTCAAACATACATAACCATTTACACTACCATAGGTATCTTTCTTATAAAATTATTCTCACCATGTGATTGTTACAATATATTCTAAATCGATTTTATAATATATAGTAATTAATAAATAATAAAGTTCTCAATATATAAAGTTCTTATTGGTTGTTATATATTTTAGTTCGATGCATTGTCTTGGAATGTTATACAATAATTTTGCTTAAAATGTTTAATAACTATTGATAAATTCAAAATAATAGCTGAAATCAATAAATAAGTACGAAAAATTTAACTTAACCTGGTATATTTTAAAAAATTATTAGCTAGAAACTCGATGAAAGTCGATATATCTACAAACTCACCATAGCAGCACACCGCAAGTAACAAAATGGAACCTTCTCCCACGACGCGTGTCCACTTCAGTTAGGGCACTGTTGCCAGATTTTTCTAAACTTTCGTTAGTGCGGATGTCGAGATTAACGATTATTTTCCAAACTTTCACAAATTTCTTTTTCTTTTTTTACATTGAAACAAATATGAATTGAATACAAAAGACTATAAGTTGGTGTAAATACATGATAATAATATAAAGTTCTTTTTAATATTTGTTTTCATTTTGAATTAATAATATGAAACTTTTTTTTTGAACTCTCCGCCCTGTCGACACTAAAAGCGTATTTTTTAGTAAGTCCATTACGGGTTCGCAGGGAGATGAGAAACAAAAACCTATAATGGGTTTCGTCCATCGCCCCAAGATGGACTAACCTCTGAAAAATATCTAGCATTTATCGGCCCACTCTGATTCGATCCCGGGTTCTCAAAATGCTAGGCTGATAACTTAATCGCTCGGCCATCTAACCGTACAAAAGATTAATTTTTGTTTCTTACTTGCAATAAATTATAGCTAGTTAATACATTATAAGCAAAAAATATACTAGTATTCAAACCTACTATATTTTGTTAATATTCATGTGTAATGTATATATTAGTACAAAATAAAATATCCACAAAATAATCGCATGAAATCTTAAAATGTTAATATTTTGTAGAATATTAAAATTTCAAGTTTTCTTTAAAGTTTTATAACATATAAGTTTGTATACCACATTTTATAGTAGGCTACAAAATGATGTATAATTTAAATATTAACAATAGTGTAATTAAGATTGAATGTGGAGTCTATTAATTTTGACATATACTAATGACGTTTTGTATTTAATAATAACTGATGAAACTTGATCCAATAATTTAGTGCCTTATATCAGCAGTCACGGTAGCGACTCATTGGCAAGTAATAATTGACTATCATGACTACATATACAGGAATCAGAGTTGCCGATTTTCGGGGGTCGATTTATAGGTGTTCGGGGGATCCGCCCTCCAAACACCTATAAATATATAGTATATAAAACACCTATAGTATATAGAAGATTAGGGAGGGAAGCTATAAAGTTTATAGCCTCCCTCCCTAATCTTCAAGATCTGGAATAAACTCAGGCAAAATGTTCAGAAATATCACTGTCAAGTGCAGTGGCGTAGCTACATATTCAGCGCCCTGGAGCAAGTCGAATCGGTGCGCCCTTTGTTCCTCGGAAGAGGTCTCGCAAAATTTATTTTGAACATTTAATTTAAAAACATATCTAATTATTTCGGCTTAAAACCTTATTTAATAACAATTTATTTGAGATTCAAGGAATTTCAACAATAAGATATTCAATTTAATAAATCTTAGAGTTAGGGTATGCTATGCCAATGCACACTAACATGTAAGAAGGGATTTTTCGAAATTTTCTCCGCGGGTGGAGAGGAAGACGGTTAAGGATTACCCTGAAGAACTTACTATACTATTTTAGATGCAGTACTGTATTTTGCGTTTTTGCGAGAAATCGAGCATAGTTTTAGACCTATCTAAAAATTCTCTAATTAATCTCGGAAGGGGGGCCTAATTTTTGCACCCAGTGAAAACGAGTATAATCTATAATCTAATAATCTTAATCTTTGCTATCGTTACTTTTTGCCCGAGCAACGTCGGGCTGATATGCTATTATAAATATAACAATAAAACAAAATATAATTCTTTAAGTACTGAGTACCTAATAATATTTACTAAATATTATATAAACTGTGTTGACAAAATGTAAGCAAGTTTAGTTTTTAAGAAATACATAATACATTAAAAAACTTCAAAATTGTTTTGTCTCTTTTTCACTTTCTTCAGATCAAATTGACAAGCTATTGTTTTTTCAATTGATATAGTCAGGGACGGATCTAGGTTTTTCGAAGCATAGTGCTTATTGAAGTCCAATGAGAACCCATTTTTTGTTAATGCAAAGAATACTATAAATTACCATTATGATATTATTATTATTATTATTATTATTATCAACTATTTTTTACTATACGATAAATTCTCATTGTTATTGAAAAAGTATTAAAAATTTATAATTCAATTTTTGTGCCTAAGCCCTATTAGTTTCTATGTAGATCCGCCACTGGATATAGTAACCAGAGTTAAGACAGTGTTGTGACATGCTGCTTCTTAAATAAGCTTTGATTAATTTTAGTTTTGAAAAACTTCTTTGTCGTCGCCCATAAAGTTAAAAAATGAGGCATGCTGCAATAATGTCGGAGAATCTATTTGAGACTGCGGTGTGAAATAAAAGTAGTTTAGCAACTTCGCTTATAGAAGTAATTTCTTTTACCTGACTATAAAAACACATTTTAAATCAAAGCAGTTGAGGTCCAAAACTAGGCGAATATATCGATTGTAACAATTCTGATTGTTCCAGAATATTTTTTTATCAGATGACGCGAGAAGATATGCAGGCGAAAAGCACTTGAAAAGTGTACATAATGTACATAAAAATCTAATAGCTAATTGATTAATTATTATATCCAAAAAATTTTTCAAATGTTTTTAAAAGTTTTTAGTTTGCCCTTTATAACTTGGTGCCCTCATGATTCTTGCGCCTGGAGCAGTTTGCTCCAACTGCAACACGGTAGTTACGCCTCTGGTCAAGTGACATGACACTAATGATATAAGATTCTCCTAACAGACCCCGTTTTTATAATCTCTCTTTGACCTTTGTCAATGAGATATATATGTCGTTTACGTATTCAATATTTTAAATAATTTATATTTTAATTCTTATGCAAGAAATGAGTAATAAATAAATTGACAATATACTGTATATACCGTACTGTAGAAATTTAATTTTCAGTAAAACAATTGTTCTGAAGTAGAATTACCCTATAGACCACTAAAATATCACCGTGAACCCTAATTCGGTATTTTTTTCTGTGGACCCCCAGTATTGGATCCAGTTGAGAACCCCTGATCTAAAGAGTCTCATTTATCTCAGTCTAGCTGTCTTATAAGACAGAATTTCATGTGAGACAACTCCACGCAAGTCAGTTGCGTTCTGCCGTCGCGACTGCAGTTGCTCAACGGTTTTTTCTGCTAAAAGCTACTCTTTAATTATGATCAGTGCCGTAACTAGCTATTCTTGTGCCCTGTGCAAGAATTTGCAATTAGGCCTCTTAATTAATTAGGTTTGGGAAAATAATAAAACAAATACATGCATTTCAGGCTCCCCTTTCAAGTGGGCCTGTGCGGGTGCACCTGTTGCGCCTGCCTAGTTACGGCACTGATTATAATCACCCTGTATGTTTGGAGAAATGATTATAGTAAAAGAAAAAAAATATTAGTTTTTATTTAAAATTCGAAATAAACTATTGTATTTCGAATGTTTGAAAGAAATAATGTGTATATTTATTAGTTATTTCTTATTACTTTGTTATTTTAACGATAGAAAAATTGTTTAGGGTACAAATTATTCATATGTCCAATCGGACGGCCGGATGGCCAGAGGTCAATGTAGCATCCTACCACTCTGGGGGACCCGGAATTGAATCCGAACGAGCCAAAAAATCCCCAGGAATTTTTCGGGGTGTGGTCCGTCCGGATATATCCCGTCCTTCACTACCGGCCACCCCATTGTGGGCCTGATCGAACCCATAATGGGCTTTCTTAGTGTCTACAGGGCGAAAAGAGTTTTTTTAAAAAAAAGTCCCGAATACTGCCTAACGATTAGTAATGAATTTGGACGATTTATCATAAAATAAACAAGTTTTGAAATTCAAGAATTAAATATTTATTAAATATAAAATAAAGAGGGAAAACAATTTCAAACTGTTAAATATATATATATATATATAAATTGTAGTAAAGTTTGGGTTTTTAAATTTTGTTTTATAATCGCTCACCAGGTGGCATTTTTCGGTAATCTCCTTGGATAGTTCTAGCTTGGTTGTAGATTCGTGGTCGTCATTCATCATCATTATTAAAAATCTGTGAGGATTGTTTATCGATGAGAGATGAGTGATTCACGGCCTTCTAGAAGCCCATTTGATGCATTCTTCAATGGACTTATTTATATGATAGATGCACCGGTTACTTGGGCTCGAGGTGTGTATGAAATATCCAGATTTGAAGTCATGTTTTGGATTCCATGTATTAAAATAAATTTTAAAAAATTGATCCTAGTTATAGATTTAAGTAATTGCTACAAAAACATCAACATTAAGTTATAATTCACTTTCATTTTTTTGTTTTTTAACTGTTATTAAAAGCTTGCTTAAATTTATGTAAATAGCATTTACTTGTAGAATTAGCCCATTGTTATTGTTCGTTATTTTACAGTAATGTTTAATATATAGTAAAATAAACAATTAATTACTCATACTATTCTATCTCATACAGACATTTCTCCCTTATTCAATGATTGAAATAGTAATTAAAATAATTTGTGGGTAATATAAGCTATAAGATTTACCCACTGATGAAAGTTTATAACAAAATACTGCTTAAGATTGCAGATTTTGTAAAAACAATTAACTATTCTGCTGTCAAGTTTTTAATTCTGTGTTAGTAAATAAGATGTTAGGGAGACAAAAGCTATGGTAACAGAAAAGGAAAATAAAATATATGTATATAGCTGAATTAATCAATGTACAGTACATTTAACAGTGGGTGAAGTTTAAAGTGAAAAGACATGATATTTTCAATTCATTTCATAGGATTTCTTGTGTGTTTGTATATTTTGTTGCTTATATATATATATTATTATATCCTTTATTGTTTTCATTCAATTTATCTATATTTCTTCATTTAGATTAATTATACATATAATTTGAATGAAAACAATAATGGAAAATTAGGAAGCTAATGTTTATAAAAAAATTAAAACTTGAAACTGTGGAATATATTAAAATTAGTAGATAAAACTATATTTCTTAAATGCAATTGCAATATCATGTACAGTGAAACATCACTTAACGAGCACCCCTCATAACGAGTAATTTGCATAACGAGCAAAGCAAATTGTAAAAAAATTACTTGTTTAACGAGTGACGTTTTGCATAACAGAGGAGACGTCCCAGATTGTGCATATGCTACAACAGTCTGTGTTTAGCACTCATCTACTAGCATCTTAGTGTCACTTGTGATCACATATTTTTCCAAACTTATATTCAGACATATTATGTATAAACGTCAACAACCACAGCCCGTTATATAATAAACATGCCAAACGATATGCCAAATTCTTGGGCTATGTAAAGGCTATAATTAAATATTAGAAATTACTGTATTTCAATTTTTTTTTCTGCAAATCGAATTTGCATTCCAGGTTGATTCATTCTGCGCTAGAAGAAAAGATGATGATTCACACTCCTTAACAATGTATATTGTATAATTTTCTTTGAATAAATGTTATACATAAAATATTTAAGTATTTTTTTCAACATGGAATGCATTATTGTATTTTACATTAATTTATATGGGAAAAATTGTTTCGCTTTATGAGTAGCATTTTGGAACAAATTATGCTTGTTAAGTGAGATTACACTGTACATAAAAAATAAATAAAATAAAATAGAAAAAAGCCTAGTTAAATTGAAATTAAGAATATATCAATCCATGAAAAATTTAAAACTATAATTATACAATATTTCTTTTTAATATTTAAAATAAAATAATAATAATATAATTTCTGTTACAGAAAAGATAGTTGCAAACCGTCCAAAATATTATTATTATCACGAGAAGTTTCGAAGAGTACCAACTATTGATGAATGTGAAATTGGTGATGTGCTGTGCTATTATGAAGCCAATGAACAATATAAGAGAGACAAGTAAATTTAACTTAAAATTTTTAATAATTTAACTATTTACATTTGTAAGTAGAAATTATACTGCGATAATAATAATAATAAAATTAGTAGTAATTCAAACACAAATAATTATCGTATTTATCTTCAGGCACTTGGCAATACTTATCATCCCATGGTCATCCCAATCGTTTGCAAAAAGAGGAAATTGCATGATTTTGAAAGACAAATATGTCAATTTTAATATTGTTGTAAATGTATAAGAAAAATTTTAAAGTGTTTAGATTTTATAACAGCGGAAAACAAATAATTAGATTAAAGTGTGTTAAGCGCCAAGAAATTTTTGTAACAACCAGTAAACATAAGCGATGAAACCTGTAGTTTTTCAATATCTTGATAACCTGTAATTAAAAAGTTGGCTGAAGTGGGGCAATAAATGCCCGAAACGTGTGTAATAACACGTATCAACTGAATAAAACTTGATGATAAGTATTGCCAAGTGCCTGAAGATAAATACGATAATTATTTGTGTTTGAATTTGACTGAATAAAACTTGATGATGAGTATTGCCAAGTGCCTGAAGATAAATACGATAATTATTTGTGTTTGAATTACTACTAATAACTACAAGCACGGTTTCAAAAGTACCAATAATAAAATTGTTTTATTTTGTATAATTTTAAATGTCTTGAACTTAAAAATATTTTAAATTATCTTAAATTTTTAATTTATGTATGCTTCTTTTAAGATGCCATTTAATATTTAGTACATAGGTTTTTATACACATACTACTAGTATGTGTATATTTTATGTACTGTACACTACAGTACATCCAAATTTGTAAAATTTGTTGCAGCACATTACAACAATGATTATAGATTTGCATAATTAATCATAAATCAGTTACAATGCTCCAAAAACATGCTAAAATTTAAAAAAATTATTTAAGAACAACTTTAGTTAGGATTCTCCATATCCAAACAACATATTCTTAGAACTTGTTTGGATATGGAGAATCCTAACTAAAGTTGTTCTTAAATAATTTTTTTAAATTTTAGCATGTTTTTGGAGCATTGTAACTGATTTATGATTAATTATGCAAATCTACAATCATTGTTGTAATGTGCTGCATTATTTGAAAACACAGTGAAACCTCAGTTTATTGTTCCCAAATGTATTGCTCTCTTGAAAATATTGTTTAATTTCTAAGCCCTTGAACAAATCCTATTTAAACTATGGAAACTAAAACCATATCAATCTTTCTCAATTTACCATTTTTACACATTTGTTGGTTAGAACTTTTAGTCAGTTCTGAAGAATATTAATCTTGGATAGATGATTTTTTAAGAAAGTGCACCAATAAACACAAATGTTAGTATGCATCAGTAGTACTCATAGTAACAGCAATTTATATTTTTGAACATGGTGTAGCAATTAGCATTGGACTTTGTATAGATAGCTTACAACCTTGTATGTATCTTACCTGCCAGACAACAAACTGGAGAGGAAGGAGGTGGTGGTGAGAGACTGGTCTAGCTAGAAAAATATGTGTATTTGAATATTGCCAAATCTAGTGTCTTTTAATGCCTTTTGGTTACAATATTATAAATAATAAAACATACTTCACCAGCACTGGAAACATGTAATAACTTCAGACCACTGAAATCTCTTCAGTTTCCAGTAAAATATAGCAATACTCAAACATTTTTCGCCTAATTCTAGCTTAAGTTTTACAAAGTTTCTTTCGAATTGGAATGTATCAAATAGAACACAAGTGTAGTCTGGGACCACATCAGGCTCTTAGAGTCCATTGAAATATTTAAATATATAATAAACATCTTAAATATTTAAAGCCAGCCATAACTCCAATTGTATCAACACTAGGGATGAGATACAGCTATCCAAAGTATGGCACGCATAGTACAAAATATCATTATAACCTGGGTGAAGTAGTATGGCTCAGCTCATGTTTTATAATGTCCTGTTCAAATTTGAATTTGATATATGCATTCTATTCAAAGCATTTCAATTCAAAACAAACTCTAAACCTAGAGCTAGAATCAGGTGGATTCTGAAAACATTTGAGAATTGTTACATTTTACATGTTTTGCTGGGAGATGAAGAGGTTTAGTGGTCTGAACAATATTATAAAGCTTACAATTGCTGAAATATAGATTTAGCAACTTTCTAGACTCCCTTTAGTGACAAAAATAAAAAAAATTACTATTCTTGAAATAGAAATTTTGCTACTCTTGTTTAGATAACTTTGTGATTTTTTCATAAACTGGACTTGGCAGTACTGCCTATAAGTATACCAGACGAAACCTTTATAATCCAGTAAATAATTTTAATGTATAATTGACAAACATTTTCAGTCTTACACGAAACCTGCTTTAGAATGTTATTGATCTGAAGCAAATCTTTGTAGGATCAAAAAAATTTGTCAATAATAAATTAAAATTATTTACTGGATTATAAAGGTTTTGTTTGGTATACTTAGTCATTGATTTAGTCTTTGAGAAGAAGGCAATTTCATTTACTGTCTGTAAGAGTGAATCATTCATTTACTGTCTGTAAGAGTGAACCATTTGAGTACATATCAAGCAAGCAGTTCAACATGTGTTCAGTCTTTTATAGTACTTGGTATTATTGTTAGTGTTATCTTTTAATCTAATTTTCTCCCATATAGTGTTATCTTATTCATTTTGAAAAGGATATCACTGCAAATGAAAAAAATTCAAGTCATACATCCCAGAAATTGATAAATTGTGATTTTATATACATGTATAATCACAATTAGATTGATTTCATTCTGTACAATTGGATATCAATAAGGAACAAATCAGTAAAATTACTTGTTCAATTATTTATAGTACTAAAGATGGAAAAATGAGGAGGATCATTTTGTACAATACACTCATAGATTCAGATTTGTTGAATTTGACTAACAAGATCTTAATTTAATTATTAAGTGTAATATAGTTAACTTCATATAAGAATGAAAGATGGGAAAATTGATTTGAATCATCCTTGGAGAATCATCAAGATTAGATATGAACCTGGATTCTCTAAGAACATCTTCTGAGATTGAAATAAATCTTGATAATACATTGTAGTTGAATGAACTATCATATATGTATGTGAAAAATTTCTGAATCAATATTATCTCTATGTTATTTATTATGATAGATTTGTTGTATTTTATGAAGATTTTTATTTTTACCATTGAACTTTTGCTGAAAGTTTTCTGGATCTGATTCACAGTAGGATTACTCAGCATAAATGAAAGATGGAGAAGAAGAACAACAATTGGGAATGGATCAGATCATTTCCTTTTCTCTTTATTCTTCAATAATATCAAGTCATAACATTGTGACCAAAGAAATAAATGAGAAATTAGAAATTTTGTGATTTTTCATAAGTTTGTTTGATCATGATGATGATCTCTATTCTTCCTATCCTTCACCATACTGATCATAAATTTTCACCAATTAAAATCAGTTTACAAATTATTTATGATAAATCAAAAAATTATTTTTTTTAAAAATAATTTTATTAAATAAAATAATTTGTGTAAACATTTTAGAATTGAACTTGGCATTTTGGATTTAACTTAGCCTTGGATCTCAAAACAATTTCATTAAGTATTGAAACATTGAATCTTCTCAAATCTTATTTACGGTCTTATTATATTTTATTAAATTAAGCTTTCTATCAATAAATTAGAACTTAATTTTTTCTTTTTTTTTCTTTTTTTGAGACAGAACAAAAAAATGTTTTATATCCATAATAATTAAATGATTATTAATATTAATACAGTACATTAATATTAATACTCTTCTACTTAATCACATTTTATCATCATTGGTAATACATAGTATAATTAGCTTAAAGCAGTTTCAAGATGAAATAAATTTTTAAACAGATATATTTTTTTATTAATAAACTTTTGAAATATAGTAAGTAAAGGGACCCACATATATTGAACATGGTCTATTTTATTTTATAGAAAAATGCATATTTAAAATTATATTTTTATTGAGTTAACAGTTTATAAGAAACAATTATTACAGTAAAATTTAACCAAAGTTTTAAGCTGCTGCAGCTATCTTTACATACTGTATCTTGTTTATTGCTAATTTGGTAATTATCAGGAATGAGCCCTATTGCATTCTGATTGATGACTTTGTCAAATTTAATGTGCATATTTCTTTTATTTCAATTTTCACAAGTCATTCACATATTTGAAGAAATATAAAATATATTCTTGATAGATTTTATCATTTTTTTCATTGAAATACATTTATTTATGTAAACTTTATTATATATTTTGACACAAAATGAAGCTCTTCATTATATGTTTGCTAATGGAAAATTTTGGAGTCATTTATTAAATGAGCAATAATTGATTGAGATTTTCAAATAGATAAGAAAAGGGATTGCCTTATCACTAATGGTTAACTGGTTTACCTGTAATCAGATAAAAAAAAAAAAGGATTGATAAATATACCAGTAATTTGATATTTATTACTGGTAAATTTGGTAAAAAATAATAGGTACACACAATAATTTTTTAAAGCCAAATATTTCTTTATATACACTTTACGTATATTTATGTTTTTATATATTAAAGACAGAAGCATCAAACATATTTATTTAAACTGTAAAAGTAGCTTATGTCATTTATCTTTTAAATTATTACTTTTCTTTACAAATTTTAACATATCATATTACAGCACTATGCTGGACAGTCTGGCAATTTGTTTCTTAACCCGTAAAGCCTACAGCACAACAGCAATTTTAGTTAAAAAAATTGAGCACATTTATTTGAATGTGAGTGCTCATACTGGGCACATTTTATTCATGGAGAATAGAAAATTATAGCATGCTCTTTCTTCACGCAACAAAACTTTTGCTTTTCAAAATAGAAAAAAAAGGGCATTCAATTGGTCATAGAGCAATAAAGAGTGTTTAGTTTCCAACTTATCATTAAGTTAGCAATTAAACAATCATTAATGTGCTAATTGCTACATTTTTTTCAGTCAAAATTTAAAAATAACTGATAACATTTTAAAAATTTATCATTTTACTGGTAATAAAAAGTTGGTAAATTTGCAATTCCTAATAGGAAAAATTTCATGCAAAATTGCATAGTAGAGATAAATTAGGTGTTATCCTTAGGTTTTTGCATTTAAATATTAAAGAACAATTTTTAGTTTTTCTTTAGAGTTTTTTTAAATATGAAATCTCAGTAAAAAGAATACAAATATATATTTTTTTAGCCCAATAATAATTGTGTTTTCTTGATATTTCATTTTTTGATGATGCAAACTGTCAGATTGTTACAGTATTATTAATTACATACATGAAATAGGAAAGATTGAGAGCTGACAAATACTGTGTAATTGCAAAAATAATGCTAAATATATTTAGAGAGAAAAGAAAACTGAAAAAAGTGTTGAAAATATTTATCATCACTAGAAAACATTGATTATTTGAGTACTTTGCACACCCAAATATAATCATATTCATTATTAATAAAATTTAAATAATATGAAAATTTGAATTATATTGAAAACTACTTATTCTTGATTTAATTTTAATAAAAGCTGTTTTTTTCTAATATATTTTAGAGCTGTGGATACAGAAATTTTAAATCTTTTACGTTTGAGAAGAGATGATTGTGTTTTTTATGAATCACCTGATCATAAAGAAAACTGCAAAAAAGTACTTGCTGATTATGAAGAAGCAGCTCTCAATTGGTTCATAAAATGTAAGTATATTAAAAATAAATATATTATATTTGTATTTTCATTTATATTCTTATCATAATTTGTTGTCATACATGTAATAAACATTTCACAATAAATAATTGTAAAAATTTGAACCATTTCATTTCATATTTTTGTTGCACCTATGATTCAGACCGATTGAAATGAGCATGGAATTTTTCATTACTTATTCTGTGACGAAACTGAATTTTAGTCTTTTAAATTGAAATACCTAAATAAGGGGGCAGCGAAATTTTCCTCCACCCTGGGTGGCTGACACCCATGCTATGCCACTGGGACAGATACAAAAAAATTAGATTGAAATTTATATAAATTAAAACCATTATAAAAAGACAGACAAACCATAATTATTTACTAGAAGACAGTAGGGTATGTGCACAAAATAGAATAGCCCATACGATGTTTTTGTGAATAGTCAAGGTCATTATCCAAATGCCAAATCAGTGCCAATGTTTGCAACAATTGCAAGGCAGTGCTGCCAGATGCAAGAAAATAAAATTTGTTCATTCGAAAAATTACAAATAGGACATAATTCCATATACGCTATACAGTATTATTATTCAGATGATGATTGCTGATCTAAACTAAATTCATAGGCTGTTGATAGTTTGGGGGTCGTCTTATAGGACAGATGCTCTATGTGGCAGTAAAAAATCACAATGTGCATGCTCTCATATAAACATGTAGGGCAAGAGAGCATTTTGTTGCCAAACTGTTGCAGGCCACCAGAACATTTTGTCTCCATCATAGCTTATTGCTGCAGTGTGCACACACTCATATATTGCAATGGAATTCATATGAGCAACAAAATGTTGCCAAAACAAAATATTGAAGTGTATCTAGAGCCTAAGATTATTTGAAAAACCATTTGAAAAACCTATTTAGGTTTTTCAAATAGCTTTTGTATAATTATGTTGGAAATAATTTTGTAAGTAAAATCCATTTATTGATATGTAGATTTTATAAAGTTTTAAGCCTAAATTAAAAAAACATTTAATATTAGGAAAAGTTAAATTAAAATGGACTAGTGTCTGCCACATCATACACATTTATTTACGAGTTAAAATATACCAAAACTGTTAAGATATTTATCCCATCTTTTATAAATCCCACATATTATAAGAAAATGTTTTACAGCTGTTATGCAACTTTGTTTAATATGAAACATTTTTCTTTGCCTTTTTTTGAGATGACTGAAAATGAAGTCTCAGGATGATAAATCATAGTTGTAGAGCCAAGCATTTTCCACTTAAATCTTCTTGAATGTATCTCTATTGGATTTTGTGACATGAGATTATGTGTTGTGGATTTTGCATCATCGTTATACCAGAGAATGTCACAGTGGATGCATTTATGTAGTCTAACCAGTGTATTACAGAGGAGGTAATCACCACAGATTACACAATATTGCATGAATATCTGGGATATTAAAAATTTATATACAATTTATATACATTGGATTCTAAAATGCCAGAATGTCTAACAAAAACATGGACATACTCAAGAAGTTTAAGTGAAAATACTTACAGGGTTCCTACGCACCTGGAAAGTCAGGGAAAATCAGGGAAAGTCAGGGAATTCAAAACAAAAATTTGAGTAGGAACCCTGTACTTAGTATTGACCATATAGTTTTGATTTTTTATAATGCAATTTTCACATTTTTGGTCCTTTTAAAAAAGACACTCAAATGAAGATATTTTGAATTGGCTGGAACTGTAAGAAAGCTGTTGAACATTTTCTTTTGTCACATTCAATCTTTTATGGGCAGGGAAATTCTAACCTGGTTAAAAGGTGGGATAAATGTCTTAATTGTGTTGATATATTTTAACTTACAAATAAGTATCTGTGCAATGTGACAAATCTTGGACCATTTTCATTTGATTTTCCCTAATAATAAAAATTATTCATAATTACAAGTAAAATGTAGTATCTGAGCAAAATATAAATCAGGATGAGCAATTATTTATTGTGACATCATCACAATGTCAATCTGCAATTTTTTATTTATTTAATTTAAAATATATGCTCTTCACCTCAAATTATTACTGGCTTGCCCCAGTACATCATACTTTTCCTTTAACAATAGAGTCATGTCAGTCATCTATCTAACACCTTTCAGCAGAAAATTTTTGAATTGAAACAACATGACTTCCAGTTTATATCAGAAGTTTGTATATAGTTAACCAGGGCTCTGCTGTCCCTAAGGTTTCTATATATGAATCAGATATAGACCTAACTCCATTCTCAAGATTAATAAAATACAGACAGGCAGATGGATAAACAACAGTGGGAATTTATAGGTCTACAATTTTTTCAAATTGCAGCCCAATAAAAATACAGTAGAGCATCGATTATCTGACTCAATTGGGTACTCGGGTTGGTCGGATAACTGAATAAATCGGATAACCGAAAATAATGAAAAAAATACATTATTAGTATAGTATATTAGTATATCATTAACCTACTTCGCATTGAATTTTCATCGATGTTAAGCCTAACAAATTTTTTTTAAAATAACAATCATCACTATTGTATCATTAAAATTATTTTAAAATTATTTTATTGCTCACAAAACAAACAACCACTCATAATTAGAAAATTAAGTCTCGTTTAAATACTGGCCTCCCTTCAATGGTCGAGCTGTTGATGCTAGCTAAAACACGCAAAAATTTAACAAAAATAATATTAAAGTAGCCAAGACATAGCCAAAAATTGTAGCGCCACATCACTAGCAGACATTTGAAATTTGCCGACTAGAACGGTCGGTTAACTGATGTGACGGTTAATTGGGGGTCGGATAATCGATGCTCTACTGTATTTAATTATTCAGAAAAATTCTAAGTATTTATTCTTTAAATAGGAAAAATAGAAATTTTTTATAAAATAAAAGTTTCTTTCTGTTCTTTTTGTTTTTACTAAATTCTGACTGATAAATATAAACAAAAAACTTATTTTATTATAATTTGTAGATGGTGATTTAAGTGGATATGCAACAGTTAGAGATTGTTATATGAAACAAAAACATCGCTTGATATGGGAACGTCGTCAACAAGAGAAATTAGAATCAAATAAAATTGAATAATGTTCTTATTAATTCTGTTGTTAATCCTTTAAGATTTAGTTTTATAGGATTTCTTTTGTTAAAAAGTTTTTATCATCATTAGATGACAAAAGATTTGTAATAATAATAGTAGTAAAACAAATTTGTATGTAATAAAAAAAATTGTAATTTAGAAAATTTCTGCCATTACAGTGTACAGTTATTTAAATTAATATAATAATTTATATAATTATTAGATACTTTTTTTTGGTACTCTGAAAAGCAATATTCAATATTTTAAATGTTGCTTTTCAGAATATATTTCATAAAATGCTGTACATATTTTTGGAATTACAATATAATTTACTAAAGTCAAATTAGACATTACAGAATATTGCTTTATAATTCAGCCAAGTTTTTTTGAACTATTGTTCTAGAGTTGTAGATGATAAAAATAAACTAAAAGTAAAGGTGATAAAAAATTGTAAAGCTTAGTTAAACTGTTCAAGTAGGAAATCCTTTCTTTTACATATTACAAAATAAACAATTTCATTAAACACTTTAGTGTGAGAAAATTCATATAAACTCAAAACTATAACTGACTTTACCTAATTGATACTTTGAAGAAAAATGTAATTTCTTTCTTAGAAACAGTGGTGTAACTATTTTTAGTCCTTAAGCAGTATGCAGGCATTGTACTATTCAAGAAACCATATTTTTATAGAATTGAGTTTTCTCTTATTTTTTGTGTGTACAGTATTTTATTATTTATACTTATAAAGATAGAAAGATTTGATTTTACTTATGGGCCTACTAAAATACACAGTTTTACTGAATCAATTAGTGATCTAAATCCTATACTGTTCCTTATAGATTTTCAAAGACAAAATCTTGCCCCACTACAGTTTTAGTTTCAAAATTAGTAAAAAAAAATAAAGAACACAACATTCTTTTACTGTATTTTCAAAGAGAACCTTTTCCATGTATTTATTTCTTTTGTCTAATTAAATATGATTGAAAATAGCCAGTTTATGATTCACAACATGCTCTTTTTAGTGCAGCAAAATAATACAAAGTTCATTGTATTATTGATGATCCCCACACCTTTGCCTCGACTTTTGCCCTGATACATCCAAGGTGAAAATTGAATATTCTGTCGATTGGAATTTGTTTGACTATGTGATGTACTAATCAATTCTAAATTGTACTGTAGATATGCATGCCAGATTATTATCTGTATGGATGTTAGTTTGTGTAGCAAGATTTTGTTCACCCTCTTTGAAGCTTAATAAATTCACACAGTTAATGTTTTTTTTTTTTTTTTTCGAAAATTTTTGAAACTTTGCAGAGCAGTTTGTGTATTAAAGGGATTGATGTTATTAAATTTTGGTGATTAAAGGTCGAGGGGGTGGGGAGATAAATGGTGTCGTGTGTATCTCCTGTAGGGCAGACTTAATGACGATTTTACTCTTTTTTTTTTTTCTTTCTTTACTTTTTCTGCCCTGTGGGCACTAAGAGAGCCTCTTATAGCAGGTCCATTATGGGTTCGGCCAGGCTCACAATGGGACGGCCGGGTGGTGAGGGACGGGGCCCGACATATCCGAATGGACCACCCCCTGAAAAATTCCTGGGGATTCCTTGACCTATCCAGATACGATCCCGGGTCCCCTAGAGCGGTAGGCTGCCATCTTGACCACTCGGCCATCTGGCCTCGATTTTACTTGTTATTATCATTACATTTTTTTTTTTTTATAAAACCCATCCCTACCCTCAAAATTAAGTTTTTTGTCATTTTATAATATTTAAAAATATAAAAAGTTCTTTTTAATAAAATATCATAACAGATGGCGCTACCCCAAATGTTACCAGGTAAGCTAAGCAACTCGTTGCTGGATTTTAAAAAAGAAAGACCATAATTTTAATAAATCTATATATAAAAGATGTATATTTAATGTATAGTCTTCAGTGAATGTGAGTATATTTATACTCACATTCACTGAAGCGTCGATTATCCGAATCAATTGGGGATTAGGGTTGTTCGGGGAAAAATCGATATTTCGGATAACCGATTATGTACAGTACGAAAAAATATTAACCTATCCCATGTTGAAATTTTTCTCCGTTGCGTGTCGCTTCGCGTTGAATTTTCATCGATGTTAAGCCTAACGTAAACTTCTTAAAATAATAATCGTGACTATTGTATCGTTAAAAATTATTTTTTCATTTTGTGCAAACAAAATAAATATATTGAAAAATATAAAAACAATAAAAAATTATACTTCAGAAGTTAATTTAGTATCAAAAACGTAAATATTTCAGTAGCCCAAGACATAGCCAAAGATTGCAGCGCTACAGCACTGGAGAAAATTTAATTTTGCCAATTGGACTTCTTTCAGATAATTGACGCTCTACTGTAGTATACTATAATTATAGTCTTTCTTTTTTAAAATCGTAATGTAGTATTATAATCGTAATCGTAAAAAAACATGTAACCCGAAAAGCATCTACAATTATGGTCGGATGGCAGCCTACCGCTCTGGGGGACCAGGGATCGAATCTGGACCGGTCGAAAAGTCCCCAGTAATTTTTCGGGGGTGATCCGATCGGGATCGGATATGTCGACCACGTCCTTCACCACCCAGTCGTACATTGTGGGCGTGGCGAATCTTAACAGGCCTTCTTATTGCCCACGGGGCGGAAAGAGCAAAAAAGAAAGAAAAAAAACATCTAGTTTAAACTTGAAAAGAACAGAACTATCCGAATTGCAAATTTAATATAACAGCCGATAAAGTCTCGTTTTCCAAATCAAAACATTCCCAACAAATTTAATAAGTCCCTAGACTAGAAGCCAATATGTAAACTTGATAACCATTAAATTTCAAAAGTAGGATAAGAAGCTCATGCCACTAAAATTACTTTTGGGCGTTTCCATTCTTCCGCATTATAAAGTGCGTTAAATTTCAATTTAGAATGTTTTGTCCTCCTCTGACACTAATTAGTGTGTGGTGTCTAAATTGAAGAATTTCAAACTATAAGAATTATATATAGTAATAAGATCTGCACACAGAGTTTCACTTTGAGAGTAAAAGTCACTTGATTTATTGGTGATTTACTTTTTGTCCTTATGTTACAATATGAATCTACGACACCAAGTTTCTGGCTCTGTGGAGAACTTATCACACACTATTGGCGTTGTAGGAGCAATCACATCGAAGTGAGTAGACACAGGTTCATTATGACGATGGTATGCATTTCGTACAGGCTGTCTGTCCCTCTTCAGTTGTATTTATTACAATTTGGTAGGTTTACAAGCATCTATAAAAATACAAGCGGTTTTTTGTTACAAACATTTGGGTTTATGATTAAAATAGTTCAAAATTACGTTCTTTTTAAATACATATTTAAAAGGTAATATTCTATTTTGTTGCTAATGAGTGCATGACTTCATTTTCGGAATTTTTCAAAGACATTATGTTACGTTTTCAGTACAAATAACAACCAGAGATTGTTATTACTAAATCAAGTGAACAAATAACAACCAAAATGTATGATTCTTCGTTTGCAACGCAGAATCATACATTTAGTATATTCTGTGCAAAATCTCAAATATATCAAAAGGTTCTCTAATACAAGGTGTCCCAAAAGTCTTATTGAAAATAAAAATCAATATTAAAATAATATATTAGTTTAATAAAATAAAATAAAAAATTGTAATAAAGTACAGTCCCTGGGAATTTATTTCTTATAGATAATATCGTCTAAATGTGTTCCGTTATTTCGCTGGCATACTTTTACACGGGAAGCAAAATTTCTGAGAACTGCTCGGAACAGTTTGCCCACCAAGTTGATGGCTTTATTTCTTAATCCAACTGTATCTTATAGAGGTGGAGACACAAGTCTTTACGCATTATGCGATGTAGGGAACTTTTAGGAAGATTTAAGACACTTACCCTTTTGTGAACAGAAAGAGCGTGAATCGCTCTAACTGACTGGCGTACGTTCTCCACATTTTCCTCGCTTATTGATGACCTTGGTCGCTCCATCCGAGGTTTGCTCATCGTCGAATCAGTCTCTTCAAATTTCTGTATCCATGTTTTGATGAGTTGAGTACTTGGTGCTTCATTTATGTGACACAATCGATAAAGATTACAAAATTTTCGCCGCGCTATAATGCAGAATTATTGTTTTTGTAAAACTCGCGCACGCAGCATGCACGCTCCGCTCCTGTGAAACGCTCCATAGCGACTAAATTCACAAGATCGTGGCTAGCGATCGGCATAACTTCCGCGCCTCTACTGTCGGTTGCGTTCACACAGTGGGCAAAACAAATTGAAAAAGACTTTTGGGACACCCTGTATTTATAGAGAAGATGTATACACCAGTATTTATCCACATACAAGTATCAAATCGATGTTTAACTATGTTATGAAGCGTGAAATGCCATAATGTTGCAAAGCCAAAAAACAAACTGTTCAGAAGAGATAAAAAAAAACTTTTTCTAGTAAATGAATTCTTTCAAGTCCTCATTTCAATTTTTACAATAAAATGATAAAAAATCTATGTTACGAATTCTCTGGAATAACAAAATAAGCCGTAACGTTTTAAGCGCCAAAAGTCACGTGACTAGTGTTGCCACCAGGCCTGTATTTAAATTCATGGTCCGGAATAATTATTAATTTGTCCGGTTTTCATAGAAATTGTGAATTGATGATAAAACAAAATTAATTTATAAAAATATTTGCGAGTATTTTATTTTAACGGTTAAAGACTAACTTCACACCCTCACCGAAACTTATCCCCAGGCTAACAGAAAATGTACTTTTAAAATTATAACTTGCAAACATCTCTGGCAAATATTAGCTTTGTTTCAACACAAGTCCCTAACTGGTTTAATTAAAACTAGTTATGTGCCGGATCGTTAAAAATGTATATCCGCGGGTACGGATACAGATACAGATCATTAGTGTCTAGATCCGCGAATATGGATACGGATCTCAACTTTCGTACTCAGTCAGCGCCGGTGCTTGTGACCTTGGACCGATAGTTGACGTTTTGCGTTAGTAACGCGATGTATTTGGACTTGCACTGCGCGTGTTTTTGTTTATAGTTTAGTGTGACATGGAATAGCATAGATTACGTTTGTATCTTTGGAGAGTGTTGAGTTAAATTAAAATAAAAACAATGTCGACAAAAAAGTTTAGTAGTGTAATATGGAAATATTTTACGATAGTAAATGAATTTTGCAAGATAAAATTTTTGCAAGATGAATGTGTCAAATATATGATTTTAAGAAATAAAAAGTGATTTGAATTGAAGTTATTAGTATTTTATTGCTACCTATCTTTAAAATTTCATATAAGTAATGAAATTCATTAAGANCAAGATAAAATTTTTGCAAGATGAATGTGTCAAATATATGATTTTAAGAAATAAAAAGTGATTTGAATTGAAGTTATTAGTATTTTATTGCTACCTATCTTTAAAATTTCATATAAGTAATGAAATTCATTAAAAGATCCGTTAAAGATCCGCTAAAAAGTAACGGATACGGATCTTTTTTTCCCCTCGGATATCCGCGGATACAGATACGGATGCGGATATCCGTCACATCACTAATTAAAACTGGCATGCGCATTGTTCGATTCTTGGCTTAAAATGACATTGCGAACGCCTCGTACGGTTTCAAATTCAAACCAATCAGGATTTGTGTTGGAACAAACTTATTGTCCGGGTCAGCAATTTTGAAAAGGTGGCAACATGTGACTTGACTTTGGCTCTTAAAACATTATGGCTTTGCACATAAATTCAACTTCAAAATACAGCCACTTACTACGCCACAATATTTTTTTTTTTTTTTTTAACAGCAGAAAACATTGTGTTTAGAATTCATTTCTTCAATAAAACGTATTTAGAGAAAAATGGCATTTACAACGTTATGGCATTGCACGCTTCTTATTTTATCTAGAATGTAATATTTATAGGTATAGATTTCTTTCATGAATAAAGAAGTTTCAATTATTTCTAATTAAAACTTACGTGTTAATTTGTATGTAAGTACGTACTAATTTTACGTGTTAATTGTAATTAAAATGTTGCCAAACGTAATTTTATAAACTGTTTCTTCCCAAATTGTACAACTCAGTAAAGTTGGTTTAATCGTTCTATTCTGTTCTGTATACAATAGAACTTATTACTACCGCTAATACTACTACCCTTCGAAAAGAAATGCATATATAAGTAATATGTTATATTCATTTATTATCTGAGACATGTTTCTTTTTTATGATTGAGTATGTAACCTTTTTTGTTGATCATTCCTCGTACTATAAAAAACAATTAATTCGAAATAATAATGAAATATTATAGAAAAAATCAATTATTCCAACAAACTGTTCATTTTTAGTAAAACAATACACGTATATTTCTTTATCTTGCATGAGATAACTTGATGTAATACATCTTTTATTACATTATTATAGTAGCCTATCGAAAAATAGATCAGTATTTGGCCAATGAAACGTTTTTTGAGATGACGTGTACTTATACGTACTTGTTCATATCCGGGAGTTACAAACAGGAAATTCAAATCTTATAATTTAATGATGTAATAGTGAATAATTTTACACCATTACATATATTCTTGCAATCATGCGCTATATAATTGCAATTGTAAAAAGCATCCAAGTAATTAGCTCTGCTGACGTTTGTACGTTTCCAGATAAACAGAAAGAATTGCTTTAGTCTCTATTAACAATAAATATCTGAATATTCAGACTGGTTTGGTTTTTTCCTCAATATGATTTGAGGAATAAGTCAAACTCGATTTGAAAAATTATAACCTTTTTGTAATCCTAACCTGTTTCCTTCATTTCCTCAATGAAAATTTTATATAAAAATTAATGAAGTTAAAAGCCACTTATTTATCTATACTAATATAAAGAGGTAATGTTTGTAAGTTTGTTTGCAGCAGGTAATCTCCGAAACTACTCATCCGATTTCAAAAATTCTTTCACCAATATTTAGAATGGAACTTCAGGGTGGACATAGGCTGTATATTATTCCGTTAAACATTCATATAAATTAAAATATATAATCTAGGTTAAGGCTTTTATGTCAACAGATGGCGCTACGAGTACGACGCCCTAAGTTTGCTTTTCTGTGAGGCATTATGCTTTTCTGTGAAAATGAACTAAAGCAGATCATCTTCTATCTATCTATATAAATAAAAATGTAATGTTCGTTTGTTCCTACCGATTCCTTTGACATTTTGACACAACGCTGCATTCGAATACGCACGTGTTTTTATATAATCAATACAAAGGGATTTTTCGATATTCCCCCGTGGGGGAGAAGGACAGGATTAAGGCTTACCGTGAAGAACTTGGCTTCTATTATACTATTTCAGATGCGGTTTTTTGCGTTTTTGATTGCGTTTTAATAGGGTACGTCAAGAAAATGTACACTAAGGGATTTTTCGAAAAATTCCCCCCACGGGGAAAGTGTTATACATTTATAATAGATACATTTTGAGCCACAACAACGCGTGGCGGGGTCTGCTAGTATCCAATAAATTAGAATATTGTCAACTAGCGATTTAAAAAAAAATGGAAAGTATCTTTTTAATGAAATTCTAAACATGTATCAACACCTTCCCATATCATTTCGATTAAAGTTTATGATAATTACATTTATAATATTCAAATATTGAAAACAAAAGTATCAGGCAGGAAATATCAATTTGTTATCGATAAGTACCTAAATATAAATTCAGTTTTTTATATATATCCGGATTTGAATTTAATAAACAATATAATCATTAGTATTAAAACTTGCCGAAGTTTAGTCATTTTAATATACAAATTAAAATATAAAATTTTTATCTTTTAGACGAGGAAACGTCGGGAAAGCCCATTTCCGTGAAGTTTTTGCAGGAAATACATCCTGTGCATATTCTGCCAACTCTAAACTATTTTCGAAAATCAAAATGGAAGTAAGATGCAGGACTTCAATCTCTGGCATGCCAAAAGTTGAAGGATATTTAGAAAAAAGAGGAAAATTCGTAAGTACAAAAAGCATTTTCAAGTTTAGATAATCATCTTTAATCGACGACTGTTTCCATCAGAATTTAAAATGTTTGTGGAAAAAATATTGGTTCGTTTTGGATGGAAGATCGCTGCTATATTTTAAATCAAAGGATAATTATGAGGTAAACTATAAGAATTTTTTTTTTACTTCATATCGTCAAATTACTTTTATGTTTCTTCTATTATTGTACAGATTAAATTGTAAAATAAACTAATTTTAATATACTAAAAACTAAATTGTACTACTAACAATAGAACAAGTTTTTTAATTTTCCATAAAACAAATAGAATAACTGATGATTTTATAAGTTGTTAAATTTATTCTAAAGGTTATTTGTACTTTATTAAATAGTGTTGTTTTTAGCGTATTGAACATTAGTTAGTACTGTATGTATATATATCTGTACATATTTGATAATAGATACTGTATTGCTTTAATTTAACAATTCTTCATCTATATTTAATTGTCATTATCAGAATTAAAAGAATTCAAATATATTTGAGTCTTTTTAATCTTATGTAATTATATTAAATTACGTTTATTCATTTTTTAATTGCAAGATAAACTAATGATGAAGATAGAAAACGCTGAAAAGTTTTAGCTACCGGCATCTTATAAATATTGAACATTACTGTCAAAGAGATCTATTCTCTTTGACTGTATAGATCTCTTTGACAGTAATGAATGTAAATTAAAGTTTTAAACAGAAAAAAAGTGAAATTTCAGACATCCTACACTCTTATAAAGAGTCGGCCTATTCCAAAAGTCATCGAAGGATTTTTACTATAATTGTTAACTTTTCAACAGAAATCAAAAGCAGGGAATTAATAAACGTAGTTTAATTCATAGATATTTATTTTAATAACGAAAAATTATATTACCCAAATGTCTACCATCGGCTACTTCACAAAGCCTTGCTCCGACCAAGACATTATACATTACAGTACGGGCGGAAAACCTACGGAATACAACAAGTTCCCAGTCTACCGCAGAGAAAAATGAAAAACTGAAGGATGAAAAATATCATTTAAATATTATAATCGTAATTAATTCACTGGTAATTCAAAATAATCTTCCATCCATTTTTATATTATTTTTGTCATACATTCTCTCAATTATACGGCTATTTCGAAATTCCACTTATTGTGTTTAGATTTACTAGAAATTTATAATTATCACAACACCCACAGCACAAATAACAAGGTCGTATAGAGCACAATTATAAAATAATATATAAGGATAACTTCCTAGACCAATTCATTATTCATTCAAATTTTTTTAATGCCTGTAATAATTATTGGTTAACTATATTCAGATGCAACAGAAATGTAAATATTAAATATTGTTTCGTATTATGCTATATTTTCTTGTGATACTGTATAAGATAAAAAATATATATATCTATTTTTTTAGGGATTCAAAATTATGTAAGTTGCTTTCCTACGGAAAAGGTTTTCTTATTAATAACAATATTAATGAGTTAACTCAAAAACGAAATTGTCATCTACAAAAATGAACATAGTAATTATTGTTTACTGTTGAATTAACTGACGTTCATATTTAAAAAATTTTTATATAAACTTCATTTTACTTGAATTGGAATGTTAATTTTAAATATTTATATTTTCCAGGCATTGGGTGTTTGTAAAGGAATGATTGATTTTTCCAGAGTGCAGACAATTAGAATTCCAGCTAAGTTACATCATGGTTATCCGTTCGAGATAGTTACTCGTAGTCAAATCATTTATCTAGTAAGAATTTTCTGCATTAGTTTGAAATTAAATATTAATATTTATAAGTGCAATAAAACTGAACGAAATATTAATGAGATTCACAGCTTAAAATTCCAGCAATACAAAACATTTTATTTGCAACTAACACCTTGAAAAACCTTCATCAGATTACTACAATTGAAACAAGATTGTTCTATGGTACTTGGAGAATGTGAATTTTGATGTTGGAATTTTAAGGTGTGAATCTCATTAATATTTATACGTTAAAATCTATCTTTTTTCTATCTTTTTAACATCTCTATTGAAGCAGTGATAAAAACATGACTTAATTAAATGATGGAAACCGAACATTTATCAGTAAGGATGCAAGTAAAGATAATATTTCTATTTCTAACTCTAATTCTAAGAACATATTCAAGAATAATTTCCTGTTTTACACCATGAACTATCGATAACTATGAATCATTAAAACGTTTCTTTTAGCATTAATAAAAATTATTTAATAAGATAATTTAGTTGTTCTGATAAAACGTATTAATTAAAGGTATAGTTTACTTTGCATATGCACTATGTCAAATTAAGGAATTCAAAATGACAGCCAATTCAATGAAATTAAATGAATTCATTTATGAATTAACTGTAAATTAAATGAATATTTCATATAAGTGAGCTCTAAGTTTTCATTTTATTTTTAAACTAGCTTGTTACATCCGGCTTTTCCCAGGTTTATAAAGTACCCCTCGCAGTAATTGTTACACCCGGAGTTATTAATCGTAATTTCAAAAATATATGCAGTAAAACCAATTTTAAGAACATTATCAGAATGCCTATAACTACTTGGGAAGTTTTTCTCGTAAATAGCGAGTTTATACAAAAATGATAACAATTCGTTTGGTTTATTTGGTTATGGTTACGCGACACGTGGGTGATCTGCCGAGAGAATGCCTATCGGGAGGAGTTTTGTGGAATATTAGCCCCTGTTTACATGTTACTAACCTGAAGAAAACTCCACGTCAGAGCCGGCCCTACCATAGGGCGAACGTAGCAGCCGCTCCAGGCGCTAAGTCCTAGGGGGCGCCTCACTGGTAAAGAAAATTAAATGGTATAAATTAGGGGCAACCAAGGGGGGCGCCATGATAGGATCTCGCTCCATCCTAAAACTTGCCTCGGGCCGGCACTGCTCCACGTGGCCAGATGTTGGCGATAAGCGATCCTGCTACTCATCAAAGTAATAATATAGCGAGTCTACTTCACGCTATATCATTGTCGCAGTAATTAAGTGAATAAAATATTTGTTTTACTTGTTTAAAAATTATATCCTTTTTTGTATGAATTATACTGTATTTAGTCTATTATTTTAAAAATCTTATGCCAATAGATGGCGCTACATGTAAATCCAGCAAATCCAATATAGACAAAACTTAATATATAGAAATCCAATGTTTTGGGGTAGTATGTACGACGTTATTTAATTTAGTAGAATATTAACGGAACTGCCGAGTTTCGTAGCAATTGATCGAACGGACTACGATTGTATAGAGAACAAACGTTCTCATTTATAGATATAGATTAGTTATTCATTTTTATCAAAAAACTTTGTACCGATGACAAAATTAAAATTAAAATTATTTGTTATTAACCAAAAATTTGTTCTAACGAGTATCAAGGTAGAACTATTTGATTAAAGCGATTGTGATATACACAGTAGCATCGGTAGCACAGTAGGATTAATTAACAGAGTTAATCAAGGGATATTTGTAAATATATATACATATATCTTCTTGCATAATGTACTGTACGTATGATGCCCATCTTTATAGTCTTTGGGCGCCACTGATAGAGATTGTGGTGTTCAGACAATTTCTCTGTTGCAGTGCTGGAATGACAAAGTTTTAGAGCATATTTCCATACCTAGCAGCATTAATAAAACACATCACTGGTCCAGACAGAATTTTCTTCAAATACATTAGGATCAATGATAAAGAATGCTGTGAAACCATACCACACCATTATCTTTGGTGAGTTGGTGGATTTTTGTCAGACTAAATATGGCAGTTATGAGTATTGGTATCACCATGAAAATGAAAATGAGCCTAAAAGAATCATACATCATCAACCATCACCTGAGCTACAAATGTGGCAAATATTTTCACTTTTCAATATTACCAGGACTGGTGCAAGAATACCTGATGCTCCTAGGCAAAGAAAATTTAGGTGGTCCTATACATCAGTGGCTCTCAATCTTTTTGAAGTCGGGGAACACTAAACTTTGACATTTTTTTCTGCGGAACACTTACAATACATCAGCTTTAAAGCAGGGTGGCAAACCTTTTTGAAATTAAGTGCACTTGGTCTAGTAGATGACGACATTGGCATTTGCTGATTACATTCCCATACAAAAATTATTTTACATTGTATTGATATTTCTTTTGCAACAATTTTTAATTGTATATTTGATTTTTCGCAGAACACTTGAAGTGGCTTCATGGAGCACTGGTGTTCCACGGACCATGGATTGAGAATCACGGCTAATACATTATCTATCTTTTCTTTGTTTATGAGTACAGCTGGTGCCCCTAGGCAATCACTTAGGTTTTCCTAATGGTAAAACAAGCCAATTGAAGGGTCTAATTTCAGAAAAATCATTAGTTGCAAGCCATATATTTCTGTTATTGAGCTAATTGAAGTTAGAGATTTGAAATGTCTTGCTCTTGAAACAATTCCATTGTAGATTTTAAATCAGCAAAGATAAAATTCAGAATATATAACATTTATAGGGTTTCCATGAAGTCCATGTTTAGTTTTAGAAATTTATTTTTAAAAATGTGAAACGTATAGACATTGTTCTTGCATCAAAACTCAAAATATAGGCAACACAATCAGTTGTAGTCATTATATCAGTACTCTTCCACACTTGCACTTTTTATCCCTGTAGCACATCTAGGCACTGCACAGTCTCCATATTTTTTCACTAACATGTGGGTTGTTGACAACATTTCCTGTATTCTTGAACTTTGCATACCAGGCTTTTATGTCCTGGAGAATGGTGGTGTTTGCCCATACTGTCATATGAAGTGATGTCAAACCATTATTATATTCCCACTACCATAGCTCTCATAGTCTCCTGCACATGCACCATTTTTAATTGTGAGTAATGACAGACAATGGTATGAAAGTAATGAATGGGAGAACAACTTTGTGAGTCTATCTACACTGTGGCATATGTATAGTACACTCTCAGTAGCTCTCATCATATTGTCACAATAAATTTCTAAAACTCAACAAACTTTATGAACACCCTGTAAAAGATATCTTTGTCCTATATTTTTTGCAACTGAGTATTCATTTGGTATACAAAGAATAAAAATGGACTTAGTGACTTTTTGAAATGAAATATATGTATGTATGTATGACTGCTACAGAAAAGTGTTAAAAGTATGGTAGGAAAATGTTTTCTGGTCAAAAAACCACTAAGTTACTATAGTGTGAGTAGCAGGGGGCCACTGGGTTGAACCCTAATGACCGCTTAATCTGCACGGGCCTAATAGACCCGCTCTCAGTTGACGGATGGCTTGTTTGTCGGATGACACCAATATGTGCGAACCGAGGGGATAGAACAAGAGTTTCTNCTCTAATCCATGTATGCCTGTGCATACATCATAATACACGCTCACAATACTTTCGATTCGTCACTTTTCCGTCGTAGAGTTCCCATTTTACAATTACGTGACTCAGCCTGAAGATAACGGAGAAAAGAGACAGATAGGACGTCGGTATAAGTCACAGTTATGATTTCACAGATTCGAGACAGCTCGATAGCCCGAACGGCCCCAGGCTTTCGCCCGTGCACGCTAAATGACTTTCATTACAAGCATTTAGCTTTCGAAGTCTATGACAACAATTTTTTGGCATTGACGGGCGCGAATTTCGTGCCAATAAGTTGCCTCGACTTGTTCGATTATGTTATCAACTCAATTTCATATTTATTTTCATATTTTCACTTCGCGGTCCTTCTCTGTTCTTTTTCCGTTATTTACACGTGTATGCATGGGCGTAGCCAGAGTTTTGTTATGGGGGGGCCTAGTGGAGGCCAACCTGACACAAAATTGAATTATTTCAAATTATTTGTTCATTATTGGGCACCGAGCAAGCCGTTCACCTTTTTTTAGTATTTAAAACTTTTATTTTAGCTTTAGGTTTTTACAAATCGACTTAACACTTTTTCGGCTGTGATTTCCTGGGAAGGGCACCAGGTTCCCTGGGAGGGGCCGTGCCCACCCAGGCCCCCCTCTCGCTACGCCCATGCGTGTAGGTCATTTCATTGTTATCCACATTTGATATCATCATTTATCACATACTTCCATGACACTCTTGTCTGTCCGCTACAACTTCCAAGAATTAACGCGATTGGCGAAGCGTAGTGACAGCGGGCCAATAGAGAGCAGGATCCTTGCCATAATGCGGTTTGAGCGCCAATTTTCGTACGTGCGTTAATCAAGCCGAATAGTTTGGCCGAATATTCGGCTATTCGGCCACGCTCCTGGCCGAATATTCGGTATTCGGCCTGAGGCCGAATATACTATTCGTTACAACACTAGTAATGACAGACAATGGTATGAAAGTAATGAATGGGAGAACAACTTTGTGAGTCTATCTACACTGTGGCACATGTATAGTACACTCTCAGTAGCTCTCATCATATTGTCACAATAAATTTCTAAAACTCAACAAACTTTATGAACACCCTGTAAAAGATATCTTTGTCCTATATTTTTTGCAACTGAGTATTCATTTGGTATACAAAGAATAAAAATGGACTTAGTGACTTTTTGAAATGAAATATATGTATGTATGTATGACTGCTACAGAAAAGTGTTAAAAGTATGGTAGGAAAATGTTTTCTGGTCAAAAAACCACTAAGTTACTATAGTGTGAGTAGCAGGAGGCCACTGGGTTGAACCCTAATGACCGCTTAATCTGCACGGGCCTAATAGACCCGCTCTCAGTTGACGGATGGC